TTCCCAGTCAGTGGCTTCCCTTTTTACCCTACTGGAGAAGTTTTTGGATGTGCATAGGGATTTGAGTCTTAGAAGATCCCATTCATCTATGTTATCTTCCCCTGGTTGTAGGAAAGCCATGGTATTTTAAGTTACTTGCTATGCATCTGAAGGTTGGACAATAATTGTGGATCCCGGAAGAAAAATTGATGCGTTTTGAGTTGTGGTGTTAGAGAAGAGTACTGAGTATCTCCTAGATTGCCATAAGAATAAACAAATATGTCTTTCAGACATTGTAGAGGCAAGGATGATGAACCTTCATCTTACATACTTTGGGCATGTTAGAAGGGGCCAGTGCTTTGAAAGACATCATGGTTGTGTGGTTGGAGGTCTGGAAAATAGAGGAAGACAGTCAATGAGATAGATTGACACACTGACTGTAGCAATGAGCTCAAGTATGGTAAGGGTGGCATAGGATAGGAAAGGGTTCGAATTTGTTGTTATAGGGTGAGTCATAGATGATCACTGAGTGGGCTAGAACTTCAGCCTTTTGGTTAGTAATTAATTGCAGTCAGTTGTATCCCCTAGACACAAATTCTTGAAGTTTCTGCTTTTGGGATATTTTTCTACTTCTTTGCTCAAAGCACCAATTATCTCTCTTTAGTGAGGAAGATCTGGACCGCTAATCTCTAGTTGCCAAGTGACAGTCAGATCTTTCTGTATATTCTTGAGAATAACACTGTTTTGATTTTCATTGAGAATCCCTTTCTGGATGTTTAATAAGAGTTCTAGAACATAAAATGTCCCTAATTTTACCTTTTGCACTGAGTCTCTGTCTCTGAACTTAAGATTTGAAATATTGTTAAACTATGGCTTCAGTGCTGCCTCTTGAAGGTTAGGAATTTGAAGAAATAATTTAAAGGAACTGAGTGAAACCATCATCATTAGTTTGTACATTAAGCAAGAAATCTATCCCTTTTATAGTGGTAATTAGCATACCAACTTTTTCTGTTCTGTAATCACATGCACTCAACCAAGGTATAAACCTGCCAAGCATGAAAGTTCAACTTCTGCTTTTGGGGACCTTCCCACAGGGCATTCTAGTGGTTTTTAGCCTTTTTAGACACAGGCTACTTTGAATATCTGACAAAAGCAGCTGAAACTTGCTAGAAAAAAAAAATTCACATATGCTCATTGTAGTTGTTGTTATGTGTTATTGAAGAGGAACTGACCCATAACTAACCCTCCAGTGAGTGTTCAGAAGCTGTAAATCTCAAGGGAAGAGATTTCCATTTTTCTCCTGAGGAGCAGCTGGTGGTTTCAGATTTCCTTTCTTTGTGTTGGTAGTGCAACTCTATCCACTGGGCAAGGAGCACTCTTTCTTGATATGCAAATTAACATATTTTTATATAATTTGATGTAGACTTGTACCTCCTGGAGCCATTTATGGACCATCTGGAGCCCATTGCTTCCTGAAATACCTATTTTTCAGAGAGCTCTTCTTATAAGAACTGTTAAAAATGCAAGGGCCACGTGGGATTGGCCATGTCTGACCTTTACCAACTTCACAAAGGGGGACTGTCCCAGTCAACAACATCAACAAGACAAATACAATTCCAATGAGGTCAGACATATCCGTAGCACTCCTGCATTTCTTTATACTCATCCCAGCACCAATCTTACTGTTTTATTGGGTCTGAAATCTGATACAATAGCGCACAGATCACACAGACCATATTGGGAAAGTCAAAAGGTTACAGTCCAGATTAGTAGCAGAATATAGTCAGGACAGGTTCAGAAATGTGCCTGCAGGTGCCTCAACCTTGAGCCTCATGACTTTGGGCCAGTGTTACATAGCTCTCAGTCCTGAAAGTGATAGCTTCCTCTGCATACCCCCACCCAATTGTCCAAAAACTTGGGCAAAAGCTCTTACTGTTGGTTTGATGGATTGACATTCCCATGGTCCACCCTGTCTCACGTCACATCTTTGGTTCTGTGCTGTGGCCGCTATGGCTGCTGCTTCCGTAGACTCTAGTCTTTCTGGCACAAGAAGCTATATAGCCCTGAAGGACATGCTACATTCTCTTGCTGCTTCTTTCCTGGTGGTGAGGTTTCTCCCATTCTGCTGCTGGATTCACTCAGTTTAATTCTGACTCTAGCCAATTCCCTTATGGACTAGTGAGACTAGCCAGTCCCCTGGAGATAGGCTAACATTCCCTATTTGCATATTCCTGCCCATCCACATGGCAAAGTCAAAGTCAAATGGCTAGAGAAGCCATTTTGAACAATATACCCTTAAAATAACACACATGGTAGTTAGCCCTATAAGACAGAATAGAACCACCTCATAGGATCTGTATGTTGCTCTGTTTACTGGGACAAGCTACACCTCCTTCTCCCCTATAGCCACTGAGTGGGTTTGAATTGCTAGCTTTTCAATTAGCAGCCAAATGCTTAACCTCTGCGCTACCAGGGTGCTTGAAGTTCATTCAGGATAGACTTTGCAGTGTTGGTGAGGCCTGGGAGATGAGAGGAGGCCCTGGCTAGAGAAGATCCAGGAGGGGCAACTTGATGGTTTGTTCTGACCAAGGAAAAGGCCCTGGGAGGTAGACTCCAAGTGCAGTTCTAGCGGTACAGAGCAAATCCAGGCAGGTTCTCTTGGCCACCAGTCAGGAAGGGGCCGTAGAGTTGTAGGAATGAGATGTCTTCATAAAAGCACTCTCCAGCACTATCAGCTGGGCCAATTTGGGACTCTGAGGCTGAGTCCTGATTCTAGCCTTGTCTTTACTGTGCTGCAAACTCTTCAGAAACCCCCATCAATGAGAGCCTTGCCCTGGAACATATCCACAGGCCCTGAAAGACTAGACCAGAAGGCAACTGAAGAGATTCACACTCTGAGCAGGCAGGGGACTGTCAGGTGTAGGACTGCCCTGTGTTCACTGAATATAAGGATCTTCTCATACAAATTGAGGGTGCTGGTGCATATATGTGTGCATGTTGATGGGTGGGAGCTAGATAGAATATAATTTTTTTTTGCTTTAACTAAACAATATAGAAATGTTGAGGAGCTGATAAAATATTATACAAAATGGGTGACCCTGAAGGACATTATGCTGAGTGAATAATCTCAGTGGCAAAAGGACAAATACTGCATAATGCCACTGTTATAAAATAGGACTGACATTGGGGGTTTGGGAAAATTAAGAAAAGAGGGGGTAAATAATGAACACTGCATTGAAACAGGTGAGGGAAAGAACTGTTTAAAAGGAAAAATGATTAGGTATTATTTGTATGACAACAGTCATATAAGATAAGAGCTGCATAGCAAAGTGGACTGGGGAGGAGGGAGGGAAGAAATTGTGCAACAATTAAAGAATCTTTTTAAAGAGAAAAGTGAACTGGGGTGGGGTAGGGAGGAAAATATGTAACAAAGAATGAATGGAAATCCAAGTTTTCTGAAAACTTTTGTTCAAATATCAATAAAAAATTAGGAAAAAAAATTATACACATAAAGGAATAATAAAAAAAAAGAAATATTTGTCAGTAGTCTGTAGATTTTATGTGCCCAAGATTCAGGATGTGTTAAACTGTGCTATCTATTTAGTCTAATACTTGGAATAATATAAATGTTATTTTTCATTAAATATTCTCTTTCAGAGTTTATATTTTGAGAGGACTGTGAATGATAATGTCTCACCTTTAAGCCAAGGAAACAAAATAGAATGAGGGAGTAACAAGACCCTTCTCATTCTCTCCTGAGTGATTTCATTGATGCTTCCATGGAAGGGAGCTTGGCCATCTAGAATGGAAGGACAAGTGGTAGGAGTCAAATGAGTCACGTAGAGTGTGTTCTCAAGCATAGTTTGATTGAAAGAAGAGGATAGTGGGAAGGACCAGAAGTGTTCTGGCCCCAAGTTCTTCTGTGGTTGCTCAGTGTTTTTTAGCTTTGGCCCTAGCATGCAGGTGTACGTGTTCTTTGGAACTTGGTTTTGATGGCTAAGAGATGTTCACTTTCTTCAGTTTCTGTTCCCTGGTAGATTCTTTACCTGCAGGAGAAAGAACTCATAGTAATTGGTCTCTAGTGAAAGTGAATCTTTCATATATTATCTCTTAAAAGGAAATATAAAGAACAGGACTTTCAAGTTTCCTTATGCTCAGAAGTCTTCTAAGTTTGTTATCCCCCAATTCTTTTGTTTTTAGATCACATGAAAGGATTAAGAGCCCCTACCTTAAAACGAAGATTGGAATGCAGGTGATTTCTTTTGTTGTCTGGGTTTGTGTTTAAGTAAATATTTTAATTAAGATATGACATCTAAGAAGAAAAGTACACAGATCCTGAGGGTACCTCCTAAACCCAGAGCCATTGACTGAGCCAGTTCTGACTCACTGTGACCCTGCAGGATAGAATAGAAAGAGCCTTAGGATTTTGTACTTACATATGAGTGTTTGATGGTCTCGTCCACAGTCAGCACCTGGCTTTGGAGCTGACCATCAGTTGTTCATGTGTAAGTTCAAACTGAAGTTGGAGAAAATGAAAACAAGTCTACAAGAGCCAAAATAGGATCTCAGTCTATCCCACTAGAGTTTAACAATCATCTCAAGACTAGGTTTGAAGTATTGAACATTAAGGGTTGAAGACAAGATGAATTGTAGGGTGACATCAAAGATATCCTTCATAAAGAGAGCAAAAGGTTGTTTTAAAGACAGAGGAGAAAAGGACTAAAATGGGTGTTTGAAGAAACTCTTGAACATTTCACTAGTGAAAAAACAAAACAAAGGGAAGAGATGCCAAAGTAAAAGAGATGAATAGAAGCTTTCAAAGGGAAGCTCGAGAAGACTAAGCAAAGTATTGTAATGGAATATGCAAAGAGCTTGAGTTCGTGAATAAAAAAGGAAGAACTTGTTTGGAATTTCACAAACTGAAAGAACTGAAAAACAAATTCAAGTTTCAAGTTGCAATACTGAGAGAAGCTATAGGGAAAATCTTGAATGATCCAAGAAGCATCAAAAGAAGATTGAGGGAATACACAGAATCACTCCACAAAAAAGAATTGGCCAACATTGAAATATTTCAAGAAATAGCATAAAGAGGTAGTGGTGATGAAGGAAGAAGTTGATTTTTTTTTTGGGGTAAAAAATAAGGTCCCAGGAATCAGTGGGATACCAGTTGACATGTTCCAAATAACAAATGTGGTACTGGATGTGCTCACCAGTCTGTGCCAGGAAATTTGACTGTAAGAGATCTATATTTGTTCTCATCCCAAGAAAGGAGATCCAACCAAAAGTAGAAATTATCGATCAATATAATTAATTTACCATGCAAGCATAATATTGCTAAAGATCATCCAAAAATGATTAGAGTTGTACATTAACAGAGAACTGCCAGAAATTCAAGCTTGATTTAGAGGAGGCTGTTATAACCTTCTGTTATCATTTCTGATGTCAGATGGGTTTGGGTTGGAAACAGAGAATATCAGAAGAATATGTTATTTGTGTTTCATTGACTATACAAAGGCATTTGACCACGTGGATCATAACAAATGATAGCTAACCTTGAGAAGAATAGGAATTCCAGAACACTTAATTATGCTTGTGTGAAATCCATACCTCGGCCAAGAAACTATTGTCCAAACAAAGCAATGTTACACTGCTTGGGAAAGGTGTTTGTCAGGATTGTATCCTCTCTCCAAACCTATTCTACCTATATGCTGAGCAAATCATTAGAGAAGCTGGACTGTATGAAGAAGAGTATGGCATCAGGATTAGAAGAAGGCTCATCAACAGCCTGTGTTACACAGATGATGCAATCTTGCTTGTTAAAAGTAAGGAGGGCCTGAAGGACTTGTTGCAGAGGATCAAGGATTGTGGCCTTCAGTATGGTTCAATATAGAATACATGTCAGCATTAAGAAGAAAAAAATCTTCAACACTGGGCCAATAGGTAACATCATGATGAAAGGAGAAAAGATTGAAATTGTCAGTGATTTCATCTTACTAGTATCCACAGTCAGCCTCAGGTGATGGGAGATGTACAGCATTGTGGAAGTCTGCTGTCAGAGACCTCTCCAAAGTTCTGAAGAGCAATGATGTAGGTTTAAAGACTGTTAAGGTGTACCTGATTCAAGCCATGGTCTTTCTAGTTACCTGCTATGCATCTGAGAGTTGGACGTGGGATAAAGATGACGGAAGAATCAATGCATTTGAGTTACAGTGTTAGAGAAGAGTGCTGAATATCCAATGGACTGCCAAAAGAACAAACAGCTTTATCTTGGAAAAATTACAACCAGAGTGTTCTTTGGAGGCAAAGATGTTGAAGCATTGTCTCACATATTTTGGACGTATTAGGAAAGGCTATTCCTTGGAAAGAGACATCATTCTTGGGGATGTGGAGGGATGGCGAAGGAGAGAAGACCTTCAGTGAGATGGAATAATATCATATCTGTGGCAGCGGACTCAAATGTGTGAGGATGATAAGGATGGTGCAGGATAGGACAGAGTTCAGATCTGTTACTCATAGGGTTTGCTGTGAGTCGTATTCAACTCTATCTCACTTATCAACAACAATAACTGGAACAAACTGCCTCATCATTCTCCAGTGCAGCACATGGTGCGTTCAAATTGCTGACCTTTTGTTTAGAAACCTAACACTTCACCCACAGCTCCTTCATTAGGGTACCAGCATATTGCCATGAAGTTGCCTCTGACTCACAGCAACATTCCCTCAAGTTCTCGAAGCTGTGAATCTTAGGGTGAAGAGACTGCTTCATTTTTCTCCATTAGAGCTGGGTTCAGACTGCCAACCATTCAGTCAGTAGCCCAACACTTGACCCCCTATGCCACCAGGGATCCTTCAGAAGATTACAGCTTGATGAATTTTTGTGATGTGAACACATCTGTGCAGCTTCTACTCCCATCAAGAAATAGAACACCTTCGTTACCACCGAATTCTTTGGACTTCAACCCAGTTGATTCTCTTCTCTCTTTGTTGTTATTTATTATGGTTCATCTGTGGCTCGTTTAAAATTTTATGAAAGGAAATTTTACAGAATCAGCTTTTTAATATTTTCCCTCTTTTGCTTTATATATTTGCATGCTTCATCTATGCTATTGGATACATCATGCTTGGAAAGGTGGAGGGTCAACAACAAAAGAGAGGACAACCCTCAACGAGATGGGCTGACACAGTGACTGAGGCAATGGGCTCAAGTGTGCCAGAGATGATGAGGACGGCACAGGACAGGACAGGGTTCAGATCTGTTGTTCTCAGAGCTGCTGTTAATGGTTCATGATTCAGTGGCACCTAACAACAACAACATTGGAAACAGCACTTTCACTGTGTAAATGTGGGTTTTGTGTGTGTATATGTTTGTGCTATAGTAAATAATCATCTATGCATTTTTTTAAAAGCAGAAACTATTACATTCTTTTCCTGCAGCCATTATATAAATTTAAATTCAAAATTTTCAAGATAAATATTTGAGAAGGGTCTTAATTGACTTTTAAAGTTTTGAACCAATGGATGCCAACTTCTCTACTGTATGTTCTCAGGAACCTTTGTTCTTGATAACAGTCAATAATATTTATTGAGTACGTACTATGTGCTAAATGCTTCATATGTATTTATTAGTTCAACAATATTTTGAGTATCTGTGATGGATCAGGCACTGTACTCAATATCGAGGATACAGTGGTGAGCAAGACAGACATCTCTCCCTGCCTGTAGCTGACATTTCGATTAGAACCTCTTGATAAGCTTTTGAATAGATACTATTGAACAGATATTATTATTTCTGTTTTACAGATAAGGAAGCTGAGGAACCAAAGAGGTTAAATTAGTTGTCCAAGGTCACAGAGCCAGTAAGTGGCAGGACCAGGATTTTACCCAGGTCTGTCTGATTTTAGAGCCTGTGTTTTAGTCATTGATTGCTGTAGAACAAATCACCCCCATATGTAGTGGCTTACAACATCAAGGAGGGCTTACACCAGTTGGTGTCTGTGGATTAGGAGCGCAGTCAGGGCACAGTGGGGATGGTTGCTTTCTGCTTGCCTGCGTGGCACCTGATGCTAAAATGATCCCAAAGCTTACTCTCTCACTTGTCTGAAACTTTGAACTGAGAAGACTCAAGAAGTTGGGGTCTAGAACAGCTGAGGCTCCTTGGGCATCTCTCCATGTCTAAAAAGTCTGTTCAGCTGGACTTCTTATATGGATCCCTAGAACTTAAGAAGTAAATGTCCCAAGAGAAAGTCAGAAGGAGGCTATATTGCCTGAAGACCTAACTTCTAACCTCTAGAGGTATCGCTTCCACTACATTTTGTTGGTTAAGGTAGTTACAAAAGTCTGCCCAGGTTTGAGGGGAGAGAACAGTCTCTTCCTATCAGTGGATGATTTTGATGTTCATGTTGTAAAAAGAGCATGTGCACAGGGTATATGTTAGTGTTAGTATGAGTGTGTTTGGAAAAATCAATCACCACTAACTATATTCCTATCCTCTGAACTACCACTGAGTTTTTGTACAACTTTTATTATGTAATTTAAGAAATAAGCCGAATACCTATATATATGAAGTGTAAGACAGAAATCTTCTGTTCCTCAGACCTCTTTCCCATTTACAAAAATTATCTTAACATTTGATTGCTCTCTGATCAAAGGAACTTGATTGCTGTGTGTTCCCATCCCTGACCCAAGCATGGTGAGGAACAACTTTCTGAGGTCAGAGGGAGGCAGTGGGTGTCGGTATGGGGGGGACAGCTCTGTAACTTGCTGTGGCAGCACAGTACTCAATTAGTGACAATAAGCAATACCTGATGAAATGTGTTTTTCAGTCACCAAGTGAGTCAGCTTTTTTCCCCCTTTCCTGTTCCTTTCAGCTTGAAGGTTTACTTATACTGTTCACCTGTCACTAAGGAGTTGTTGTTAACAAATGCAAAATACAGATTTTGGGAGAAACGAATTGTAAGTTTTATTTTTTTATTAATGCTAATTTTTTTTTCTTACCAGTGGAAAGTATTTTCAGAGACAAATTGAAAAAATGTATCCAAATTATTTAAACCCCAATTCCTTTCACTTTTTGTTTCTTCATGCTAATAAAAATTTAATGTTTGGTCTTTCGTAAATTGGAAAAGGTTGACTTTTATTATTATTGTTAATTTGCTTTTCTTGTCCCTCAACAATTTCATCTAGTTTTGGTCTCATTGACTCTCTAGATACAATTCATTTTGTTATTTTAGACTGTAAAATGCTTGATAATATAACTGAGCAATCCTGTTGTGTAGATCATAAAGGTAAATTGTAAAAATAAAAAAAGCAATATCAAATTGGTTAGTAAAATAAATAATGGAAATATAATAGAGAAGCATATATGAAAATTCTAATTTAAGATAATAACTTACTAGATCTAATGCTATTAAAAAGAATACCTCATGATTATTTTAAGATGTGTCAGTTTCAGAAATGCAAAGATATTTTAAAACCTGAATCTCAAATACTATGTTTTATATTAACTTAGTAGCTCAGCGCATAGCTATCGAGTCAAAATTACTCCTAGTTGAACTTCCAGGTTTCTGAGGCTATAAATGACAGAGTCTACCTTGCTTCCCCAGAGCTGCTGATGAATTTGAACTGTCAGAGAGGTGTCACCTTTGAGTAAAAGCACAACTCCCTATGGACTGCTCCACCAGCTCCATTGCAAACTAAAGATGAAAAATGGCATTTATTCATTAATCCATCTGGTACTTAATTCAGAGCCCGTTAAGTCACTCCTCTAGTGAAATCTGTAAGCTCATTACTGAGCCCTCTGTAGAGCTCAGAATCAGTGAATCGGGTATTTTTGTTCAACATCGCAGGTTGATCCAAATTGTGTTCCTTGAAATAAAACTGAAACATGTGTGCCACTACATATTTAAAAAATAACATTCAAGGAGCTAGAGAATGAATGTGGTGGGATTAAGGATATGAAGGGAGGAAAATGGAATTTATGGAAATATAATTGGTTGCTGAAACCTATAAATCTATGTGACTTTTAATATATTTTACCAAGTCAGCTTCCAGAAAAGTCTTATTTCAGCTTTTATAAGTTTTTTAATTTGTTAATGTGTATGTATATTATAGTGAAATTTTAAATTGTTAGTAGATAATGTCTTTTAACTTTTCTTAGCATCCTTTCTATGTCTGAGATGTAAAGATGTAAAAAACTGGATATGTATCAGTGCATAAATGATCTCTCTCTTTTTAAAATAGATATCAATTGAAGTTGATACTCCTACCCAGGTAACTTTAATTGATGAAGCATCTGGCAAGGTAACAAAATTTTTAAAATATTTTGTGTAGTGATTTGTTGAAAGCTTACAGAGCAAATTGGTTTTCCATTCAACCATTTATGCCTTTTGTTTTATGATTAATTACAAAACCTAGATTGCTTTTCCTCATGACCCTCATTTCCATTCAGTCCTAGTCTACCCCCTCCTGCTTTTTGAGCTTTATTTTTGATCAAATGCTGTCCTTAGGGGAGCTCTGGTGGCCTAGTGGCAAAGAGCTGAAACTGCAATCCCAGAGGCGCACGGTTCAAATCCACCAGATGCTCTGCCGAGGAAGGAGGGACAATCTCCTCCTGTATCAGTCAGATCTGATTTGACGGTATACTCACACAAAAATAATAAAATAAACATTTAAAAAAAATTAAAAAAAATGCTGTCCTTTTGATCTTGTATAGTTGGTTGTTCTAAGGAATGAGTTCCTTCCCAGTGTCATTGTTCACCATGTAGTCCTGTCTACTGTTTGGTTGGAAGTTCAGCCGCAGGCTCTACAGTATGTGTGTATGGATATATTTACAGCACATACTAATGGGAAAGTAGAACTGTTCTCTGCCAAAACCTGAGTCTCTCATGGGTGTAGTCTCTTTTATCTGCATATATCTACTCCTCCTGCCTCTCTGCCTATGTGTCTGTAAATTAAAGTTTCTAATTACTGAAAATGCAGAACAGTACATATATCAGTATTTCCCTTTCTGCCCTATATCTCTTGTGCGTCACTCCGTGCCTTCTCTTTCTTTAGTGATTTTGTACTAATTATCCCTTGATGTATATTGCCTTACCTTTTATACAACTTAATATATGTTTATGAGTTGATGATTTTAGCTGTTAACAGCCTTTCCCTTCCCATCCCTGGTAACCATCAGAGAATCTTTTGTGATTTTTTTTTCCGCTGTAGGTAAACCTTCACTTAGCTTTTTATCATAGTGTACTCGTATAGTACTTATATTATTTATTTCATTCAGTATAATGTTATCAAGATTCACCCATGTTTTGTGATGTTTCTCATAAATATTCCTCATGCTTTACTGTTACATAGTAGTCCTCTTTGCTGTTGTAAATAATGCTGCAGTGCATGTGAGTTTACATATATCTGTTTAAGTTGTAGCTTTTATTTCTTTGGGAAATATACCTAGTAATGGGATTGCAGCATTATATGGCATTTTTTACTTCAAACTTTTTAAGGAAGCTCAATACTCTTTTCCTAGGGAGCTCTGGTGGCCTAGTGGTAAGAAGCTGCACTGCAGTCCCAAAGGTGCTTGCTTTGATCCACTAGGTGCTCTGTTGGAGAAGGATGGGCAGTCTCCTCCCGTGTAATTTACTGCCTCTGAAAGCCTGGTGGAGGGACAGCTATGGGTCATATCCGACTCCACGGAACACAACACAACATACTCTTTTCCATAATGATAACCAAATTAAAAAAAAAATATTAGTGCTTTAAAAATGATATGTTAAAATTAGTAACTCCCTTTTTTTTTTGGAATGTTCATTTAATGATAATTAAAAATTATCACAATTACATTTTAGAGCAAAAATATGTATTTCCTGCATCCAAAAAATTGGACACCGCTTACATTAAGTTTGTTCCTGTTTGGCATTTAGTACTAGCAACTGGACTTTCATATCATTGCCATTTTTATGAAATTCATTACAGTGGTTAGGATATATACAATGGTTGTTAATATTTTTTTGCATCCATTTACGTATATTGTATGATTTTTCTAGGAATAATTTTGTAGTTTGTTTTTTTTTAAATCTCTGACCAAGTTGATACTTATTTTTTATCCATAAACTTAGGGGTAGGTACTTACATATTTTGAAAGCATTCTTTCATAAGTAGGATTATGGAACTGCCTTTTTTACCTCAAATGATGGCTTGGGCTACTAAGTCTGCATTCAAAAAAAACTCATACTTGTTTATCTCAAGTGGGAAGTGACTTATAGCTGACTCTCAAGTGGATTTTTGTAAGGCTGTAAATTGCAGGGGAGGAGATTGCTCACTTTTCTCCTATGGAGAATTTGGTGGATTCAAACCTTCAGAGAAGTTAGCAGCACAACTCCCCATGGACTACACCACTAGGGCTGGTGGATATTGTCCTATTTTTATGACCAGCCTAGTTTGGCAGTCTGATTATAACATGCTGTGTTGAAGGATGCCTTCTGTGTATGTATGTCGGCAGAGGCCTGACTCTTCAGATATTTCTTTCAGAGAAAACTGAAGTACTTCTCTCATCAAATTATTGCCTTAATAAGAAAAAAAAGAAACAAAAATGAAGGATGGTGCCTCCTCCATTACTTCTTTTCCTTGGGTGGAAGGTCCATACCCTCCTTTGGGATGTATCTCTTTTAATAAATCTGCATTTGCCTTTTCATTTTTTTTTTTTAAAGGATGGCCTGAATCATTCCAAATACCATGCTAAACTCAAGCTAGTTATCACTTTTTTGGGAGAACGGGCTCCGTAGTGGCTGCCTTGTCATACACAGTGTGATGGGGAGGCTTTTCTCAAGGCGAGGCAGCACACAGCAGGCAGGTTCTTGTTGCTCAGAATCTGTACGTGCCCCACTCTGATCCTTTGTGTGTCAGTCTTGAGTTTTCCGGCTTTTGGGTTTGTCTCTCCAGCTCATGTCAAGGGAAGATCACATTTTTAATGGTGCAATGAGTGGCTATAAACCCAACAGGTTGGTGGTTTGGCTATACTCACTGCTCCATGGGAGAAAGATGAGGCAGTCTCCTGGTAAGATTTACAACCTTGGAAACCCAGTGGAGGTTTGCTGTGAGTCAGGATCAACTCAGTGATAGTGGGATTCCCCTCTCCCCAGAGAAATGCATACAACACAAAGAGGCCCTTCAGAACAGCCTCCTGGCTGACTGATGAGAAGAAATCCATATTTATTCCCATTACCAAAAAATGGTGATTCAACAGAAATTATTGAACAATATCAGTTATCACACACAAGCAAAATCTTGTAGGAGATTATCCAAAAATGACAGTGCATTGACAGAGAACTTCCAGAAATACAAGCTGGATTTAAAAGAGGCTATGACACTAGGGATTTCATTGCCAATGTCAGATGGATCTCTGCTGAAAACAGAGAGTACCAGAAGAATGTCTATTTGTGTTTTATTGACTATGCAAAGGCATTTGACTGTTAGGCTCACAACAAATTGTGGCTAACGTTGAGAAGAATGGGAATCCCAGAACACTTGAGTGTGCTCATGTGAAATCTATACTTAGACCAGGAAACAGTCTTCAGAACAGAGCAAGGGAACATGCATGGTTCAAAATCAAGAAAGGAATGTGTCAGGGATGCATCCTGTTTCCATACTTTTTCAATCTATATGCAGAACAGATCATTTGGGAGGCTGGACTTTATGAAATAGAATGTGGCATCAGGATTGGAGGAAGACTCATCAACAACTTGCGTTATGCAGGTGATACTGAAACTGGGGAGGACTTAAAGCATTTGCTGCAGGTCAAGGACTGCAGTCTTCACTATAGATTAATCTCAACATTAAGAAAACAAAGATTCTTGCAACATGGTCAATTGACAGCATCATGATACATGAAGAAGAAACTGAGATTGTTAAGAATTTTATCTCTGCAGTCAACACTCTTGGCACCAGCAGTCAGCAAATCAAAAGATGAGTTGCTTTGGGAAAGTCTGCTTTCAGGGACCTTTCCAGAGTGCTAAGGAGCAACAATGTCAGTCGTAAGATATGCTTGATCCAAGCCATGGTCTTCTCATTTACTTACTGTACATCAGAGAGTAGGACAATGACTAAGGAAGACAGAAGATGAATTGATGCCTTTGAATTGTGGTGCTGAATAAGAGTATTAAAATACTAGGGACTGCCAAGATTACAAACAGGTCTGTCCTGGAGAGGATGAAACCAGGTTGCTCCTTGGAGACAAGATTTTGAAACTCTGTCTCACATAGTTTAGACGTGTTTCCAGAAAGGACCAGTCCTTGTAGAAGGAGAAAAGACATCGTGTTTGGAATTGTGGAGGGTGAGTGCAGGAGAGGAAGACCCTGGAGTTGGAGTGTCACAGTGACTGTGGCAATGGGGGCAAGTATGTCAGAAATAATGAGATTGGCTCAAGATAGGGCAGAGTTCAGAGCTGTTGTTCATAGGGTCATCATGAGTTTAGTCGATTTGATGGGACATAACAACAGCAGTAACAGGATGAATAATAATAAAATTAAGTGAGAATTAACCATTATCCTGTAGGGAGCTGGTGTGCAGAGAGCTCCATCACCACATTCTGAGGACTGGAGACTAAGTGTTCCTTTCAGATTCTGCCATAACTCAGCATAATACACAATCTATTAAATTGGCATAGATAGGATTTTAGAAAGAGCCCACACCTGCTTTTTCTTTTTAATAACACTTTTATTGAGGTAACGTTATATACTATACAATTCACACATTAAAGAGTACGATGCAGTGACTTTTATGTACTGTTCTGAATATGCAATGCAAGCCCACAGAGGAATAAAGTAGATTTGTTGGCTAGGGTGCTGGTGGTAGAGGAATAAGTCATGGACACACAGCCCTGTGTGTCATTCATAGGGAATGGGAATGTTGCACAGGGCTGTGTGTCCTTGACTGTAACAGATTTTAGAACTTTTCTGTACTCCCTAACAAACCTTGCAACCCACACTGTAACCTCCACCCCAATTCCTCTACCTCTAGCAGCCCTAGACAACAACTAATGTAATTTATTTCTCTATGGGTTTACCTGTTGTGAACATTTCAGATCACTGGAATCATGTGGTCCTTTGTGATTGGCTTCTTTTTCTTCGCATGGTATTCACACCTGTGCTGTGGCATATGTATGTACTTACTCACTTTTATGACCAAGTAGTGTTGATTATAATGGATGGATTTACCACATTTTATTTATCTACTTGTCAGTTTATGGACATTTGGACTGGTTCCACCATTTGGCTAATATGAATAATGCTGTCATGAGCATTTGTGTTTACATTTTAATGTGCACATATAAGTTTTTAGGGATAGATGTTAGGAATGGAATTTCTGGGTTATATGATAACTCATTCTGTATTTAGCTGTTTTGTTGAATGGACAAGGATTCTATTATTTCAAAATTTGAAGAATGAGTAAATGAGGGAGGAAAAGCTTTGCCAGTGCAAGAGAGGAAGACCCTCAATGAGATGGATTGAGTCAGTGACTGTGGTAATGGGGATAAATGTGTCAGAAACAATAAGGTTGGCATAGGAATAGAGTCTCAAACAAGTCAACAGCACATAATAACAACAAATGAAAGGTGTTTTATTAAGGTGGGCTTTATTTATTCAGACTCTAGTAACAACTTGGGTGTCCCTACCTTGTACAAATGTTGAGTGAGCTCAGATACTAACCAGAAGGTTGGAAATTCAAGTCCTCCTAGAGGTGCCTAGAAGAGTCTTGGGAATCTGCTCCCCCAAAATCAGCCATTGAAACCCCTGTGGAACACCATTCTACTTTAACACACACGGGGCCACCATGAGTCACTATCAACTCAATGGCAGCTAGTTTTAATAACAACTGCTTTTATCAATTTTTCACATTTTTTGTTTCAGAAGGAAGAGTTGGTTGTGACTCTTTTACCAGCTGGTCATTGCCCAGGATCAGTTATGTAAGAAGTCCCATCTATTTTGCTGTTTTATTGTTTGTCTTCTCTCTCTCTCTCTTTCTCTGTGTGTGTGTGTGTGTGTGTGTGTGTGTAAAGACTTGATGTTGCTGTGGATTAAGCATTGGACTGTTAAGCAAATGGTTGGCAGTTTGAATCTACCAACTGTTCTGTGGGAGAGGGATGAGGCAGTCTGTTTCTGTGAGGACTTTAAAATCTTGGACACCTAAAGGGGTAGTCCTAAACTGCCACATACGATTGTTGCGAGTCATAAATTGGGAGTGGATTAGTTATATAGTTGCAGAAATGAATATTTCAGGTCTAGAAAATAATAACTGTGCATAGGGGAGAATTTGGTTATTTTTCTGGCAATTTCCTTAATATTTGTTTCTAAATGAATTTGGGACACAAAGGTGAAGAGCATATTTAAAGCATGGCTTCCATGTGGTGGAGTTCTCTATTTCTATAGTGACTGCATTTTCCCATCTAGTGGAGTTTTTTTTTTTTCATGAATAAGAATGATGTCAATATGTAATAGAGACTGCTAATTTATTCCAGGAGACATCTGTTACAGAGTTGATATTATTTGTATTGTGCTATTCTTCCCTTACCCCAGAGGAAAAAAGTGGTTGGTAGGATTTTAGAGTTATTGAAATCCCGTTAACACTACAATCTAGTGGATATGGTTAGCAGGATATCATTTGCTGTGAATTTAGCATGAATTTGTTTTTAAGATATTTTTATGAGACTTAGAACTCACTGAGCTGAGTTTCTGTTTCAGGTTTTTGTTTCAGGGCAATAATGGAACAGTCTTATATACAGGAGACTTCAGATTGGCAAAAGGAGAAGTTGCCAGAATGGAGCTTCTACACTCTGGTGGCAGGTACTGGCCTTAAAAAATTCTTGTATATAAGACCGCATATTTCTCCCCAAACACAATCATTTGTTGCTATGAGAAACCAAACTTAATTACAGTTAGTCCCTGATTTACAGTGTATTTTAGTTAGGTTGAACTTCACTTGATGACCATCAGTGTTACCTGTAATATCACATCTTCCTGGGGGCAAGTTACAGAAGTGTACAAGAGGAGGATATGGAAAAACTTTCCAAGTTATTTAAAGATGCTCCAAGCAATTGATCATGGTAATGTGACGAGTGAGACCAGTACTGCTAATGTGAAACAGTAGCTCATAGATAATGAAGAGGGAGAGTTAATGGATTTTGAAGAAGTACTTCCTGAAGAAGAAAGTAATATAGGCAGATTTGGGAAGCAGTCAGGTGTTACCAGAATACGTTGTTGTTGTTGTTACATGCCTTTGAGTCACTTGCAACTCATAGTGACCCTATGTACAACAGCCCTAAACCCTGCTCTGTCCTGTGCCAATCACACTGTCTCCGACACACCCACCCCAATTACTCCAGTCACTGAATCAGTCCACCTCATAGAGCGTCTTCCCCTCCTGTGCTCTCCCTCCACCCTACCAAGCATGATGTCCAAGGACTGGTCCCTCCTCACAACATGTCCAAAGTATGTAAGACAAAGCCTCAGAATCCTTGCCTCCAAGGAGCAGCCCGGTTTAACCCTCTCTAGGATGAATCTGTTTGTTTTCTTAGCAGTCCATGGTACCCTCAATACTCTTCTCCAGCACCACAGCTCAAAGGCATCAGTTTTTCTTCTATCCTCCC